TGTATCGATAATGGTGGGGTTATAGATATATTTGTATCGATACTGGTGGGGTTATACAGATATTTGTATCGATATAGGTGGTGTTATGAAGATATTTGTAGCGATACTGTTGGGGTTATAGAAATATTGGTATCGATACTGGTGGGGTTAAAGAGATATTTTTATCGATACAGGTGGGGTTATGGAGATATTTGTATCGATACTGGTGGGTTCATAGAGATATTTGTATCGATACTAATTGGTTAATAGAGATATTTGTATCGAAACTAGTTGAGGTTATGGAGATATTTGTATCGATACTGGGGGCGTTATAGAGATATTCGTATCGATACTAGTGGGGTTATAGAGATATTTGTATCGATACTAGTGGTGTTATGGAGAATGTTTTATCGATACTAGTTGAGTTATAGAGATATTTGTATCGATACTGGTGGGGGTATGGAGATATTTGTATCGTTATTTTAAGGTTATGGAGATATTTGTATCGATACTGGTGGGGTTATGGGGATATTTGTATCGACACTGGTGGGGTTATAGAGATATTTGTATCGATACTAGTGGGGGTATGGAGATATTTTTATCGATATTTTGGGGTTATGGAGATATTTCTATCGATACCGGTGGGGTTATAGAGATATTTGTATCGATACTAGTGGGGGTATGGAGATATTTGTATCGATACTGGTGGGGTTAAAAATATATTTGTATCGATACTGGTGGGGATATAGAGATATTTGTATCGATACTAGTGGGGGTATGGAGATATTTGTATCGATATTTTGGGGTTATAGATATATTTGTACCGATACTGGTGGGGTTATACAGGTATTTGTATCGATAATGGTTGTGTTATAGATATATTTGTATCAATACTAGTGGGGGTATGGAGATATTTGTATCGATACTGGTGGGGATATAGAGATATTTGTATCGATACTGGTGGGGGTATGGAGATATTTGTATCGATACAGGTGGTTTTTTAGGGATATTTGTATCGATACAGGTGGGGTTTTAGAGATATTTGTATCGATACAGGTGGGGTTAAAGAGATATTTGTATCGATACAGGTAGGGTTTTAGAGATATTTGTATCGATACAGGTGGGGTTATAGAGATATTTGTATCGAAAATGGTGGGGTTATAGAGATATTTGTATCGATACTGGTGGGGTTATAGAGATATTTTTAGGAATACTGGTGGGGTTATGTAGATATTTGTATCGATAATGGTGGGGTTTTAGAGATATTTGTATTGATACTAGTGGGGTTATAGAGATATTTGTATCGATACTGTTGGGTTCATAGAGATATTTGTATTGATACTAATTGGTTAATAGAGATATTTGTATCGAAAATAGTTGAGGTTAAGGAGATATTTGTAGGGATACTGGTATAGTTATGGAGATATTTGTATCGATAATGGAGGCGCTATAGAGATATTTGTATCGATACTAGTGGGGTTATAGAGATACTTGTATCGATACTAGTGGTGTTATGGAGAATTTTTTATCGATATTTTCGGGTTATAGAAATATTTCTATCGATAATGGTGGGGTTATAGAAATATTTGTATCGATACTGGTGGGGTTATAGAGATATTTTTAGGAATACTGGTGGGGTTATGTAGATATTTGTATCGATAATGGTGGGGTTTTAGAGATATTTGTATTGATACTAGTGGGGTTATAGTGATAAATGTATCGATACAAGTGGGGTTATAGAGATATTTTTAGGAATACTGGTGGGGTTATGTAGATATTTGTATCGATAATGGTGGGGTTTTAGAGATATTTGTATTGATACTAGTGGGGTTATAGAGATATTTGTATCGATACTGGTGGGGATATGGAGATATTTGTATCGATACAGGTGGTTTTTTAGAGATATTTGTATCGATACAGGTGGGGTTTTAGAGATATTTGTATTGATACTAGTGGAGCTATAGAGATATTTGTATCGATACTGGTGGGGTTATACAGATATTTGTGCCGATACTAGTCGGGTTATAGATATATTTGTATCAATACTAGTGGGGGTATGGAGATATTTGTATCGATACTGGTTGGGTTACAGAGACATTTTTATCGATACTAGTGGGGTTATAGATATATTTGTATTGATACTAGTGGGGTTTTAGAGATTTTTGTATTGATACTAGTGGGGTTTTAGAGATTTTTGTATTGATACTAGTGGGGTTATAGACCTATTTGTATCGATACTGGTGGGGTTATAGAAATGTTTTGGATCGATACTGAGGAATACTGGTGGGGTTATGTAAATATTTGTGTATATAATGGTGGGGTTATAAAGATATTCGTATCGAAACTGGTGGGGTTATAGATATATTTGTATTGATACTAGTGGGGTTTTAGAGATATTTGTATTGATACTAGTGGGGTTATAGTGATAAATGTATCGATACAAGTGGGGTTATAGAGATATTTGTAGGAATACTGGTGGGGTTATGTAAATATTTGTATATATAATGGTGGGGTTATAAAGATATTCGTATCGAAACTGGTGGGGTTATAGATATATTTGTATTGATACATGTGGGGTTATGGAGATATTTGTATCGATACTGGTTGGGTTACAGAGACATTTTTATCGATACTAGTGGGGTTATAGATATATTTGTATCGATACAAGTGGGATTATAGAGATATTTGTATCGATACTAGTGGGTTTACAGAGATATTTGTATCGATACTAGTTGGTTAATAGAGATATTTGTATCGAAACTAGTTGAGGTTATGGAGATATTTGTAAGGATACTGATGGCGTTATATAGATATTTGTATCGATACTGGTGGCGTTATATAGATATTTGTATCAATACTGGTGGGGTTATGGGGATATTTGTATCGATACTAGTGGTGTTATTGAGAAATTTTTATCGATGTTGGTGGGGTTATAGAGATATTTGTATCGATACTGGTGAGGTTATAGATATATTTTTATCGATACTGGTGGGGTTATGGAGATATTTGTATCGATAATTGTGGAGTTATAGAGATATTTGTATCGATATAGGTGGGGTAATGAAGATGTTTGTATCGATACTGTTGGGGTTATAGAGACATTTGTATTGATACTAGTGGGGTTATAGAGATATTTGTATTGATACTAGTGGGGTTTTAGAGATATTTGTATTGATACTAGTGGGGTTTTAGAGATATTTGTATTGATACTAGTGGGGTTATAGAGATAAATGTATCGATACAAGTGGGGTTATAGAGATATTTTTAGGAATACTGGTGGGGTTATGTAAATATTTGTATATATAATGGTGGGGTTATAGAGATATTTGTATCGATACTAGTAGGGTTATAGAGATATTCGTATCGATACTAGTGGGGTTATAGATATATTTGTATCGATACATGGGGGGTTATGGAGATATTTGTATCGATACTAGTAGAGTTATAGAGATATTTGTGTCGATACTAGTGGGGTTACAGAGACATTTGTATCGATACTAGTGGGGTTATAGATATATTTGTATCGATAATAGTGGAGTTATAGAGATATTTGTATCGATACTAGTGGGGTTACAGAGATATTTGTATCGATACTAGTGGGGTTATAGAGATATTCGTATCGAAACTGGTGGGGTTATAGATATATTTGTATCGATACATGTGGGGTTATGGAGATATTTGTATCGATACTGGTGGGGTTATGGAGATATTTGTATCGATACTAGTGGGGTTATGGAGATATTTGTATCGATACTGGTGGGGTTATAGATATATTTGTATCGATAATAGTGGAGTTATAGAGATATTTGTATCGATATAGGTGGGGTAATGAAGATGTTTGTATCGATACTGTTGGGGTTATAGAGACATTTGTATCGATACTGGTGGGGTTATAGATATATTTGTATCAATAATAGTAGGGGTTTGGAGATATTTGTATCGATACTTTTGGGTTATGGAGATATTTGTATCGATACTAGTGGGGTTATAGAGATATTTGTATCGATACTGGTGGGGTTAAAGAGATATTTCTATCGATACATGCAGGTGGGGTTATGGAGATATTTGTATCGATACTAGTTGGGTTATGGAGATATTTCTATCGATACTGGTGGGGTTATAGAAATGTTTTGGATCGATACTGGTGGGGTTACGAAGACTTTCGTCAAATTGTAGTCGATACTAGTGGAGTGGTGGAGATACATTCTCCTGCTACATGTAGGGTTATATCGCTACTTCCATTCCGTTTGGAATACACATTCTTCCTCTTCTCCTCTCGGATAAGTATGATGGAATTGGGTATTTTACTTGACTCAATTGATCTGTTAGGCACTGTACTTCTCCCCTTTTCTCTATCGGTAACCGAAACGTCCCGTAGTCGAGTGACATATACAATTCACAAACTCGTCACATTGTTGTACATGTACAGGTGAACAACTCGGACATAGTTTGACAAAGGGACTAGTCGGCCTTGAAACGTTGCGAAACATTTACTACTTAAAAATAAAACTTTGAGACTTACACATATAACTTGTTTTGAATTGCGGTACTACCCTCATCCGCAGCTTGATTGAATCTCTCACCAAAAAACATCCTTAACTTGTTTTATTTTCCGTTCTCAAACTATCAGATACGACCAAATATTACCCTAACTTACATCCAATTGATCGTACCGATTCCTTGTGTGGTAGTTACGTTATTCAATCTTTTGAGTGTAGGTTTGGTTTGGTTAAGTTTTGTTTAACGTCCTTTCAACAGCTATGGTCATTTAAGGGCGGCCACAAAGAGGATATAGCAAACTGCAAGAAACACTAGAAAATCTTAACAGGCCAAATAAGTTTTAGAAGATGTACCTGCTAGTACAAATAAAAGTGTATGTACCTGCTAGTACAAATAAAAGTATACGTAACTGCTAGTACAAATAAAATTATACGTACCTGCTAGTACAAATAAAAGTATACGTACCTACTAGTACAAATAAAAGTATACGTACCTGCTAGTACAAATAAAAGTATACGTACCTGCTAGTACAAATAAAATTCCACAGACAAAGGTTAAGTTTTTTCTTCCTGAATTGCAATGACCAACGAAACATATAATTGTTCCTATCAAAAGAATTAGAAGACTTGCTAAAGGAAACCACGTGGATCTTCTCATTGTTACTGGAAAAGAGAAAAAAAATCGTGCATTAATATCATGTTATATATCTGGAAATGTATGTGTTTCTAAATTTTAGTTACATTGTACATATCTCAACAGCTTAAGTGTATATCACATAGATAACAAGTTACATTGTACCTATCTCAACATCTTAAGTGTATATCACATAGATAACAGGTTACATTGTACATATCTCAACAGCTTAAGTGTATATCACATAGATAACAAGTTACATTGTACCTATCTCAACATCTTAAGTGTATATAACATAGATAACAAGTTACATTGTACCTATCTCAACATCTTAAGTGTATATAACATAGATAACAAGTTACATTGTACATATCACAACAGCTTAAGTGTATATCACATAGATAACAAGTTACATTTACTTTATAGATACCAGTGAGTATAGCTGACACGTTATTGAACAAATAAAAAGTTACCAAAATACTTAGACTCACCTATTATACTGGTACATTTCTTAAATATCTAATCTCACTTAGCATACATTATCAAATACCTAATCTCACCTAGCATACATTTATCAATCTCACCTAGCATACATTTATCAAATACCTAGTCTCAGCAAGCATACATTTCTAAAAACCTTGTCTCAGCTAGCATACATTTCTAAAATACCCAGTCGCACCTAGCTTATGCCCTGTCGCGACGTACGTCGTCCGTCCGTCCGTCAACATTTTGTTCTTCTTCTGAGGGTCTGATAGTCCTATAGGCAGGATATATTGCCAGTACCATCCTACGATGGCGCATAACAAAGTTTGCGAATGAAAATTAGCTTGACCTACTTTCAAGGTCACAGGGGTCAAATACCGCAATATTTGGCCAACAACTCTATGTAACAAAACAAACAGGTGAACGATACAGGCCCGTCTAGGCCTCTTGTTTATTATAGTCAGCTTCAAAGCGGTGTAGTTGGTTTTAATACACATATTCATTTAAAAATTACATCTATGAAATAAACAAATGTTTCACCACTACCGTAAGTAATATGGATTAGTAGATGGAGTACATTTATTTCAAATAATTATCATAATTCAAAAAAAAAATCATGTATGTTTTGACAATTCTTAGTTATTATAACATCACTGTGTTAGGCACAGCCTGCTTATAAACAATTATAAATCACTTATAAACTGATCGATAAAATCATAATTGAATAAATGTTGTTGTATTGTGATGGTGAATGTTGTGCTTGTAGAATTTCAGTCTCAAATTGATTTCGTTCGGACATAGAAGGAAACAAGTTTTCAAATAGTTTTAATACGTCATAACATAACGATGTAAGATACTAGCTGCCTTGCATTTTTCATGCATGTACCTTAAATCCTATTTATACTTATAAAATCAAAGTTGACTGAATGTTGTGTTTTACTAAATGTTCTGTTTTTATGATGTGTGTGACTATTTTATGACGTGTGTATCTTAACAGACACTTTTTGATTATTCCTATTTAGGTTTGACATAGGTGGTTACAAATGCTCCATTAAGAGAACAAATGCCAGTGGCCAGCTCTGTCTGAAAGGAGGATCTATTAAAAACTTTTCATGCTGAGCGCAATTTACTTTTTTCTCACAGCAGATACTTTTAGTCCCCTGGTTAAACATGTTTACAGATTCTATTCCATCGCCCAAAAGTCAGACAAATGACCAGTGAAGCGTATGCACACAAAGGTGTAAAATGTGTACGAGTTGTCTACATACGCTTACAGCGTAGCCGAACCGACATCGATTTGTACAATAGTTGTTATATGTGTACCTAAATGACTCGATTCAGCTACGCTAGCTGTGTAAAAAAGAACTTTTCATAATCTATAAGTATACCTGTGTAATCTTAAAATTGTAAAGTAAAATCTGCTACTTCAGCCTGATATCTTAGCTGTGTGATATTCTGTTTTGTAAACTTTGTGCTACTAATTGTATACTCATATATGTATAGATACGACAACTCTGACAAAGCCAAACGGTTTCTTATTTCTATTCTTTGTGCTTTAGCTAATGATTCAGTGGAACACGCCGTGAATCATGCTACGATTACCTCCTTAGTTTGGGCCGAATTCCCCTATAATAAAGGTGAAAGGCGTACCAGGAAGTCTGGCATGAATGCTAGTATTTTAATGAAGTGCATAATATAAAGTGAAAATGGACAGTAACATTATGATAAATTGTATATTATGAAGCGGAAAATGAATGAAATGATGAAGTGCGTTAGGTGAGAAAACATATCAATAAATAATATCATAAATAAATAGAATTTAACAGAAAAGATCATTGCACTTTTTCTATGAATACGTTCATATTGACATATATGGTTAGATACTTAATAGTATAGGCTATAGTTTACCTCAAATTAAATCTTACTGTTTTCTTGTTTTCTGGAATTATGTGACACATTTAAGATTCTGGTCGAGAGTCTAACTTAAATTATGTGACATATTTAAGATACTCAGAGAGAACCCACGTGGGTAGCAGGAGTCGCTTTACCTTCAGTTTACTTCCGACGGGGAAATCGAACCCCGGCCATCAAAGGTGAAAGGCGAGTGCGCTATCCACACAATATACGCTATCCGTCCACCGTCCTCATATAGGGATTAATGTACTCGTAATTTTAGTCATAGGTCGCAATAAGGTCGCAAAACTGAACTCGTAAAATATATAGTTCCTGTATAAAATTTGGCGGGCGGAATGGTTGTAGATGTAAGCTAAGTTTTCGTCGTCATGTGATGACGTCATTCAAATGACAAAATTGACAGTGACTACGTACACAGTATGGCGTCTGTTTGAGGCAATCCGTCCCTGTCATCGTTCATCGTGAAATACCGGATATACTCGCAGTTCATGTGGTGTATCGGCTGATCTGGAATAAAAGAATATACGTGTATAACAACAACAAAAACGGAAATAAAACATCAAAATACACTCGTACACCATCAGACTAGAACGGGAAATTTTATTTCGGTACATTATCAAAGTGACGAGTGCACAGTGGCAGATCCAGAGTGTTTTTGGGGGCTTCAAGAATCATGTATTTTCTCCATTTTACTCCATTTTTCCAATATGGAAACCCCCCCCCCTGGAAATTTGCAAAAACCCCAGAATGAGATAGGTCTGTGGATCCGACACTGAGTGCAGACGTTTAACCAGCAAAACGGACAGGAGTGAAACCAGGTCTGAGGTAAAGGATTGTTGAAATTTGAGCCCACTTGACCAGTTTTGGCTATACCACGCCACGTATAGGGCGGGCTGACGTCAGCCCAGTCTCGGGTTGATGACGAGCAAGTCTTGTCAAATTTTGACAAATAATTTCTGAAGAGAAGTAAACACTGTGATTGTTTCAGGGTTTGCCATTTGTATCCTTATTTATACATTTTATATACAATTAGTTTCGCTTCCATAAACTGTATGATAATGGGGGTAGAAACAGGGCCGACAGCTGGAGTACTAGTCCCTTGCTCCGAATAGACTAGAATATTTAGGTCGCCGATAGGGGCCCTGACATTCGATTACTTTGCAAGAGCAAATGCTATTTAGCAAGTGATTGTCCATTTGAAGAAAACATTTAAAGTTGGCGCCAGCAACACTCATCGACACTCAGTGGAATACCGAAGCATGCCGTAGCATCACACACAACAGCCTAGCGAGACTAGCTACTTCTGTATGTCATCGACTGGTCCTATGCAGGCCATGCCTCATCATTACCTAGGCCTTCCATGGAACTATGTACCAGATAGAACTTGGACGAAAGAAAAAACTTCGAAAATTATCTGCTGAACATCTAGCAAAGTTTTCAATGTGTTTAACTGCCGATAAATTGTTGACCAGCTCGTATCGGCTTTTATATAAAACAGACTCAACTTGTTACTGTTTATTTCTCTGAAGTGGGCGATGAAGAACTCGGTCTGTATATCCGCCTTATTTAAGACTGATACGTAAGGATCGTTCTCATAGGCCCATGGCATGATGCTTAGTTAAAATCTCAAACTTGAGAATTGAGTGCTTCGTAAATAACCAAAATATTAAGCATATACTCAAAATTGAGCATTGAGAACGGAGCTTAAAAGTTTCTTAAAAGCGGGGCCAAGAATTTTTAAGATTATCGATGGAGTCAGCTGTTTCTCATGGAAAATAGCGGACAGTGATTGACAATTTGATCACGGTGTTTACCTACGTAAAGGTAATGAAAATGTAAAAACGTTATTGTTTTGACCAAAAATTGTATCACACAGCCAGGACACAAACCCGTCGAGTTTTTTAACTCAAAATGCAATCACCCCAATATATCAACCCGTCCAGTTTTCAACTCCGAGTTTCATCGCTCTCCCATACATTAGTTCATCTAGATTCTCATTTCCTACGGTCAATAGTTTTACTAACTAGATAACTGCAACATGTCATAAAGGCGACCAATGGATTTCATTCACTACAGGGGAAATGGGCACTGGGTTTAAAGTAATATAAATAAGGTTCTGCTATTTTCAATTTAAATCGAGTCGATACTGTAGTATTTCATCGTGAACACCCGCCGAGTATTCTGGACGACATTCCGTTTAGCCTCGGTATGAGACACGCCCGGTATCAATATATATAACGTGGTTGGTTTGCTGTCTGGTTAGACAGGAAACGTCGTGATCGCTGACCATCAGTAAGACCATGAATATTGGTGAGGTCATTACGCGAGATGCTTAGCCAATACGTACCTATGTAGACCGGATTTTATCTCTCCTTACAGACCAATACCGAGGACATTAACTGCCAACGATTCTCCTCAGACAAGCAAAACACACGGATGCATTATAAAACTAGTGCTTGCTCTCCCTACTTGTCTCCCCTGGGCTAGCGTGAGGTCTGCACTATCTACAATTACCTTTCTCGGGAGGCATATTGACCCGGGGCTCAAACTACCTAGAAGTTGTTTGTCAGAATTATGGCTGCCATTGCTGTAACAGCGTATCTGATAGTTAATACTGCCATCAATCCGTCCTAGATGGAGCGTGAGCGAGCAAGATTCTCTCTTGATTTACTATGATTTTCTTAAATGAAACTGAGTGCTTCGAAGATAAAATGGTGTTTGGCGAGCGAGTGCACATTGTGATGTGGAGTGGGTGAATTGATCGTGCCTACCCTCCGCTACTGGGTCCATTTCTCCCCACTTCTGCCATTCATGGCACGAACTATCAGGGATGTGACATGTTTCTAGCCTATCTATGTCTTTAAAAATCGGCATGTTTCATGCTACACCTAGTCACGCAGCAGCCTCTGACGTCATCATCAATAACGACAACTCCATGTTAACGAGCACAGTGGGGTCGTTGGATCGAGGCAGTCGTGACAGGCGAGTTGTTAAGAGGCGGTAAAGTGGTTCCTGTTGTAGGGCATCGCTACTGTGCCCACAACCAAATGTCTTCGCAGCAGTCCCCTAAGGGTGAGCCTACCGTATGTTTTATACCTATTGATTCCTACAAACTATATTGAGGCCACCATTTACTCCAAAACTCTGCGAACTGAATCGTTAGTGGGTAGGAAGAAATGTGTCCCCTATCTGGAATGCTATAGGCTGTGTTGTGTCCCAAAAATGTATATCCTGATAATTTCCGGAAGAGTTCCTCACCCAAAGGTATAGAAGATATGTATCCCACCTTTGATTGCTGAAGACTTGCAGCCAATAGTTCATTTAAAGATTTAAACATATGTTTTTAGCATTGATGATAGCAGGCAACACAGTTTTGTTAAAACATTTCCTCAAAGAACAGAGATGTGATGCACACCGTCATAAGACGTTACAAGATGCATTTCAATTCTTACAATTTCGTCCTCTCATACATTTTCTTTAAGTTATTGATACAGTTTGAACAAAACGTTTTACCGAAGGGTGAAACTGTCATTCTAACTGGAATAAATTCGTGCTTCATGTGGTTACAATTTCCGTCATGCAAAACAAAACAAAACATTCAGGAATTTCTTTATAATCTAAATTTAACGTCACTCCCTGATTGTTTCCCAATTAATTAAACAGTTAGCATAAAAATGTTCATGTATTTCCTGTTGTAGCGTACATGGCGTACGACGTGAGATTTGTATGTAGTGTATCTCCTGTTGTAGCGTACAAGACGTACGACGTGAGATATGTATGTAGTTTATTTCCTGATATAGCGTACAAAGCGTGAGATATGTACGTTGTTTATCTCCTGTTGTAGTGTCCATGGCGTACGACGTGAGATATGTATGTAGTTTATTTCCTGTTGTAGCGTACATGGCGTGCGACGTGAGATATGCAAAAACTGTTGTAGCGTACACGGCGTACGACGTGAGATATGTATAAAATAGTGTAGCGTATAAAGCGTACAACGTGAGATATGTGTGTAGTTTATCTCCTGTTGTAGCGTACAAGGCGTGAGATATGTACGTAGTTTTTCTCCTGTTGTAGCGTACATAGCGAACGATGCGAGATATGTATGTAGTTTATCTCATGTTGTAGCGTACATGGCGTACGACGTGAGATATGTACGTAGTATATCACCTGTTGTAGCGTACAAGGCGTACGCCGTGATATAGGTATGTAGTTTATTTCCTGTTGCATCGTACAAGGTGTACGACGTGAGATATGTACGTAGTTTATCTCCCGTTGTAGCGTACATGGCGTACGACGTGAGATAAGTACGTAGTTTATCACCCGTTGTAGCGTACAAGGCGTACGACGTGAGATATGTACAATGTATGTAGTGTATCACCTCATGTAGCGTACAAGGCGTACGACGTGAGATATGTATGTAGTGTATCTCCTGTTGTAGCGTACAAGGCGTACGACGTGAGATATGTATGTAGTTTATCTCGTGTTGTAGCGTACAAGGCGTACGAGTGAGATAAGTTTGTAGTGTATCTCCTGTTGTAGATTGTATGGCGTGCGACGTGAGACATGTAAAAACTGTTGTAGCGTACGACGTGACATATGTATAAAATAGTGTAGCGTACATGGCGTACGACGTGAGATATGTACGTAGTATATCCCCTGTTGTAGCGTACATGGCGTACGACGTGAGATAAGTACGTAGTTTATCTCCCGTTGTAGCGTACAAGGCGTACAACGCGAGATATGTATGTAGTGTATCTCATGTTGTAGCGTACTTGGCGTACGCCGTGATATATGTATGTAGTGTATTTCCTGTTGTAGCGTACAAGGCGTACGACGTGAGATATGTATGTAGAGTATCTCCTGTTGTAGCGTACAATGCGTACGACGTGAGATATGTACAATGTATGTAGTGTATCTCCTGTTGTAGCGTACATGGCGTACGACGTGAGATATGTATGTAGTTTATCTCGTGTTGTAGCGTACAAGGCGTACGAGTGAGATAAGTTTGTAGTGTACCTCCTGTTGTAGATTGTATGGCGTACGACGTGATAAATGTACGTAGTTTATCTCCTGTTGTAGCGTACAAGGCGTACGACCTGAGATATGTACGAAGTTTATCTCCTGTTGTAGCATACACGGCGTACGACGTGGGATAGGTATGTAGTGTATGTCCTGTTGTAGCGTACATGGCGTACGACTTAATATATGTACATGTATGTAGTGTATTTCCTGTTGTAACGTACAAGGCGTACGACGTGAGATATGTACGTTGTTTATCTCCTGTTGTAGCGTACGTACAAGGCGTACGACGTGAGATATCTATGTAGTTTATCTCCTGTTGTAGCGTACAAGGCGTACGACGTGAGATATGTATGAAGTATATCTCCTGTTGTCACGTACATAGCGTACGACGTGAGATATGTATGTAGTTTATCTCCTGGTATAACGTTCAAGGCGTACGACGTAAAATATGTATGTAGTTTATTTCCTGTTGTAACATGCATCGT